GTAATGGAGGGGCCTCACATGGAAAAATAAATAAATAAAAAGAAGGGGGAAAAAAACACCACAAAGGGCAAAGTGAAGACTCTGCTCGTAGTTACAATTCTTTGACATTTTCTGTGTCAACTTGATTTGGCAGAACACTGTGAAATTGCATTGGATGAATGTGATTTTTTTTTTTTCAGATAACACCAGCGGTGTGTACTGTACTTGCTGTATTTCTAGGTGTCCATAGTTGAAAGATATTTTCCTCGGTTGTGTTTTTTTTTAACCCTACTCTTGTTAGTTTTTGATAGCATTTTACTTTCCTTTCACAAACTGCCTCCCTGTGTTGTAGTTTCACACTTATGAGGTTTTAAAATCAGTGCATTCATGATCTTTTCATTAAATGAGCGTCTAAGACAGAGAGGTTCTCAAACTGGGGGGGTCTGTGAGCTGTAGCTTGGTGGGGTCCCCAAAATAAATGACAGTAAATGAATAATTATGTCATTTCATTTTAAAATGTCCATATGTGCACGTTGGGACCAGTAGGCCAGTAAAACAAACCTGCTWAACCAAAATTTTATGTTTGGAGAGTGGGGTGGGGTGTTTTATGTATTTTTAATTGCAAAATGTTTTATTTTATATTATTTTAATTTTTCTGTTTTTCTTACTTCTATTTTACTGTTGGATGTTGTTTTATTTTTACTGTTTGATGGGACAACAGATGTAAATTAGCCTTAGGCTAAATCTGGTGCAATGCATCAAATTATGTTTTAATTGCACACTGTCCCGAACAAATAAAATCATAATCATAAAAATTTTTTAATTTTTTATTTTTCACATATGATTTAGGGGTTAAAATGACAGTAAATTGTTTTTAATCAGTAAGGAGTCCCCAGATCTAAAAAGTTTGAAAAACCCTGGTTTAAGAAATATTATTACATAAGACAAAAATATAGGTTAGTTCACACAAAAACTACACATCTAAATTTGAAAGATTTTATCACCCATTATGATAGTTTTAGAATAATTGCATCTTATAATGAGAAAAGACCAAATTATAAATTTATATACTTATGTCAGTTCTTGAAAAAACAAAATTATTTGATTTTTTTCCCAAGATTTCAAGAGATGTTAGTTCTCAGAATATGTGTAGTGAATGTCTCCCAGCTACTACCACACCAATCTTATTTTTGTGTTTGCTACGATGAGTCAGCTGTGGTAGAAAATTTAAATATCTTGCATGATTAGTGTATTTTAGGTTTATCCTTTGGAAGTATCTCTCAGCTACTAACAAACCAATTTTTTGCTGTGTTCAAGAAGTTGGACAATTAAAGTTTTTCTAAAATCTATAATTAAAAGCGTAGATGTTTTTTTTCCCCTCCCCATTTCTAGCTGAATTGAAAACTCGCAAGCAGACTTACCCTCAAGCTTTCCAGCACCTCTTCTGCTTCTTCTGGCTTTATTTTAAAAACCTTACAGATATTATAAATAGCTAACTTTAAGCCTTCTTTGCAGTCATTCTATTGCTGGTGCAAATGAGCTATGTAGTCAGGGAGCTTTTTACGCATCAATAAAAAGAAAAGACAGTTTTTGAGTGCCAGTCTTTGCAGGTCAAGCTAAAAAAATAAGTTCTTATTGCAGTCAGCTGGTAAGCAACTKGTGCACGTATGTGTCTATATGAACTTTTGATCCCCATTACACCAGTGATGTAAATTCTAGTCCAGTAAAAGTCTTGTTAATTTGCTAATTAGGCATTTTCAGGGAAACCGTAATTAAATATTGTCAGTATCTAACCCTCAAGACACAGCATGATGTACTTCTAATGTATTCTGAAACACTGTTATCATCACATTATGGATGACTACCACAAATGACAGCCCCACTTCTTCAGTATAAATACAAGATAAAGAGCTTGTCCCCCTCCAACACAGCAATCAGCAGATCTGAACACAGTCGCCTGATTGTGATCAGTTTCCTTTAAATGCTCAAAGAACTCTCTGCATCACAGCTCTAATTGAATCTCTCCCTCACAGTATTTTTCAGGCAGCCTGCAGTGGAGATTATCAGTTTCTCACTGGCTTCAACAGAGAAACACAATTTAGCACCCTTGTAAAGCTTTCATATTTCACGCCTTGCTGATTTATGTCTGATCACTTGCCTCGCAATCGTAAATATTGCCATTTGTCAGCCGTAAACTAAATCGACCGTATCATTCGTCAATCCATTTGTTTTGCACTCGATCCGAATGCCGTTTCAACCTCCTGGTTTTGCGCCATAGGAAGCTGTCAGGTGAGTGTTTTCTGACAGCCGAGGGAAGTGGGAGGTTGTCGATGTGTGCGGTTACCTGTGCTTGTGTGCCACGATGCTCACTCTGCCACCTCTGGCCCTGAGAACCTTTCAGCTCCTAAACCTGAGTAGAGTGCCTTTTTATGTCAGCGAACATAAAACCTGAGGGTGACAATGTGCCGAAGCCTTGTGTGGCTTTGCCTTCAGTGTCTGGAGGAGTGCTTGTGGTTACATGCAGTCACAGTGACAAATTGCTTTTTTTTTTCACCATCGCCTGCTAACAGCCTCTGTATTAACCTCACTATTAGCACTTACTTAGAGTGTTACACCCATTTTTCCTCAGCCCTAGGTCTCCCTGGACCTCTTAGGGCTGATTAAAGGACGTTTGGGAAGCATTTAGAGGTGTGAAAGCTCATTGGTTTGAGTGAGCCAGAGTGGCTGGTCATATTTGGCCAGAGCCTATCTCTGATTACWCCCATAATCACAGTATTTGCTCTCGCTTAAAGTTGCTCAAGTGTTAGCTTTGATACAGATGYTCGAGCTGTTCGTGATCCCTAATTCCAGCTCCTTAATGCGGCGCATTACAGTAAAAAAAAAGGCAGTCCACCCTGCTGTAAAATGGCGATAAAGACATTTTACCTGTTCATAGTACATCATGATGAGTTAATAATAAAGTAGCACTGACAGGTGTGGGTTTTTTTATCCCTCTCATGATCAAAGGCAAGCACTCTGGAGAGCTTTGTCGTCTCCAGACGAGAATATCCATTCTGTGCAGATGCTGAGGAGAGATGGCCTGTTTCAGGAGGAGAATGATACAGTACATGCACCACATACTCCTGCAGCTTTATCTGACAACAGCATATCTTCACGCATTTATTTTCATCTCACTTAGGGAATATGACATTCTAATATTTTCCAGCACTCCTGGTAACTCCAATAGAAGCATCATCGAGTGCTCCTATTGATCCATTTCAAAGCAGCCCATCTGGTTTTATCATCACTTGATCTCTCCGCCTGGACTGGAAAAACATCTGACCCCTCTCTCAGTGATACTTGTGATCTTTGATTGACTACTCAGAAACTGCTCGTCACGATGTATTTATTCAACCCAACACATTCACCCCAGGGCTGTGGTGTTTTTCCACAGACAGATGAAATTGCGGAGATTGCAAACAAGACCCAAAACCTCCCCAAGGAGAACACAAAGAGGCAGCGAGTGGTGGTCTTCACTCAGGGCAAGGACGATACTGTTGCAACTGTTGGTATGTCGCTCTTGTTTATTTTACATGAATTGTTTGCTTGTGTACGAATGTTTCACACAAAATCATGCCTGATTTGTCCCCTTAAACATATTTACCCTTCCCCTAAACCGTATACCATGAAACAGTGGAGTCCAGCTTTAAATAAATGCTTGTTGACTGGAGAGAGCAGAATGTTATCTGTGATTTCTTTGAAGTTGAGCTCTGATATTGACACCAGATGTGTTTTTTTTCTTTTTTTTAAGAATGCTTGCACTACGTTCTGTCATCTCAGAGCATAAAAGAAGTGTGGGGGATGCTGAGAGCCGGCATTGATTTGTGAAGCACTTCTAACTTTGTCTTGGACAGACTCCAGGCCAGTCCTCAGCAATTTTTAATGCTTCAACTCTAACATCCTGCCCCCCCACTTTTTATTCTTTTCCTCACAAAACGCTAGCCGAGTGACCTTGAGGCAAAGTTGACAGAGCTTCAAATCAGTCCAATTTCCTTTGATACWGAGCATATTTGGTAGTAGGACATTAAAAGGCAGTGTCATCATATCTGAGCTGGGGTTGCAGGTTTAAACAGGAGAGACAGTAGTTTCCGATTACGAGCCTTTGTTTGGAGCCACAGGGTGACTCTCCTCGTTGCCCTTGTGGTTCGCTTCTAACTAGCAGTGCATTAGGAGAGATGGCCCTTAGGTAAAAACTCCAACATATCAGTCATCACTGGGGACTGCAGAAAGGTGCTCTTACACCATAACTTTAGCAGGTCAGMACAATACCTTCACATGTCTAGTATTTTCCATTTTACATAGTGTGTTGTGTAGTTTTGTATGTTACTGTACAAAAATGTTTAGCGTAGCATCAAACTGTATTACARCATATTGTATTTACAGAATGAATATCATCAAATCGCATTGTAGAGCATCATATCGTTGCACAAAGTATCATAGCATATTGTAGTGTAGAAGAACATAGAAGAGCATACCATAGCAAACCATATTTTTAGCACATTGTATTGTAGCATATTGTATCAAAGCACGTCATATCATAGCACATTGTTTTGTAGAACTTCATTTATTGTAGCACTTTGTAGCACATGGTACTGAAGAACAACATATTGTAGAACAACGTCGTAGAACATCATATCGAAGAACATCGTATCGTAACACATTATATCATGTGTGTATATTAATGTTATTATTTTAAATATATAAGAATCAGTTCTTATTAATAAATATATGTATGAATATCCAGCTGGTCAGAACTCATTGACTTGAAAAAACGCACGTGAAATGCAAAATACTTACTTTAAGCCACTGTTAGTCATTTAAAATTAGTTATTTATTTTGATTTTCCGTAACTATGAAATTCACAACTTCCTCAGCTTTATTTTGAACCATAGTTTGTAAAAATCGAGCAAGAAATAAGAAATTTATAAGAGTTTTTCATCAGGATGACTCCTCGCAGTCCATTGACACCCATTCATTTTGTTGAGGCTCCTCAATGCTTAACAGAGTGTGTGCACGTCTATGTAGCTAGCAACGCGCTAGCCACGCCTAATCCAGTAATATATATCAATGGGACAGCATAAAGTAGCACAGCGAATCGTAGGACAGCGAATCGTAGGACAGCAAATCGTATTGTAGGACTGCGAGTCATAGCTCAGCATATCTGCAGCGTCTCTTAGCACAGCACATCACAAAATTAATTTAATCTCTCAGTTCTTTTCAAGTTTGTTGAATTTTCTTACACATTTTTACAGATTTTTATGACCTTTAAACTTTCTCCTCTTTGAATCATTCTCGGGGTTTTTTACATTTGTAGTAGGGTGCTGATTTAAAGCCACATGTGTTCTTATGTATTCTCCTTGTTCAAGACCAATCGATAAACAAAATTTTTCCCAGATTGAGTCCAAAGCCGAAACCAAAATGAATGTTTTGAGACCTAAAATATTTAAAAGATATAAATTAAGCGTTCAGGTAACTTGGTATTGTTATACTAGATTATCTGAATGCTTCATTTATTTCTATGTTTAGTTCTTCAGACACTGGCTCACTTTTACAATAATTTAAATGCACTTACAGCATCAGTTATGTTGCTTGTGTAATATTTGCCAGCACATAAAATGAGATTAGTAAATTCAACATTGTTTGTGTGAACCATACTGACATAGGGTGAAATTGAATTAAAAAAATGTATATATTTACACTAATGACATATTTTATGGAACTCTAATTATCTTTCTAAGTCACAATGTTTTATTGTTCTTACAGTAATGAATGCAGTTATGAACTCAAGAAAGCATTATTTTTCACCTCACCTGGAGAGCTCTGTGTTGTTTTGTTTGTCGAAGAGGATGCTGTATCATCAGTCCAACTAAAAATGCTGCAGCAGGCATTCAGTACTTTTTTCCATCTTCGTTTGGCTCAAGTGCTGTAAAAAAATTGTGCTTAGTTGCTGCAAAAATAGGATGGAATACCTTGCAACCGTAGTTCTGTTTGCACATTCATTTTATGTTCAACTTTAGTGCCGTAACTTGAGATATTTAAGCCAGKTAAATATGGAAATTTGTAGTTTATAACTTTTTACATGCATTTCTTTTGTTTAAAAAGCCACGTGTTATGTTGTGTAAACTACCTTGCATAGCACTAACTGGACACACAACACACGCATGTGTAAGTGGTCGTGATAAGTAGCCGTGACATCTAAGTAAAAAAAAAAAGGAAAGAAAAAAAATGTCAGTATCCTGATACAGCAACTCGGCAACTGTCCTGTAGCAGCTGGCACATGCACTCACAATGAAAACAATAGACGCTGGTGTTGTCATTATGCAAATATGCTGCTGCTTTGTTTGGAGCTATAAATACGTGATGAAAACCAACCAGCTTTTTGGGAGAGCTGCTGGCTTTGTTCCAACTGTATCTGAGTTCTGAAGTTACCTTCCCAAAGTTACAATATGACCCTTGTTGAATCCAGTCTGTAGCTAATTTAACTTTTGTTCAATTAATTCYGATGACCAAATTCATCAAATCTAAAAGCACAAAAAAGTGACATCTAAACCTAGATTTAAAAAAATGCTGAAATATAAGCTTTCAGSTTTAAATCCAAAGTCCTCAAATATTAATATGATATCACCTCTTTGCAGGTTTGTAAAGAGTATGTGTTTATACAGTATGTACAGTATATATTAAGGGCACAGCGATACAGAAAATTCACGATTCGGTCCAGTTCAATACTTTAGTCTCACGGTTTGATATTTTTTTCTATATAAAAGAGAGAAATGCCCCTTTTAACTTGTAATTTATTTGAATTAATTATGAACATTTGTTTAACCTCAGTTAAAGTTAGTTTTTTAATTAAATGTTGCTGAAACAGCAAGCTTCTCAGTGGATCTGCGCTCACAAATGCAGCCTAGGTGGAGTAGTCAAACACAGATCCACTGATCCTTCAACACAGAGCATCTTCAGAAGACAAGTTGATAAAATTAATTTTAAAAATCTGTATTGTTC